AGATATATGAACACCTTCATATGTGAATCCCGAATAACGAGGTGAAAAACGAATAACCAACAGCTCGTTATTCGCTGCTTGAATAGCAATGTGGACTGCTTTTCGTCTAAAGGTCGTTTTGCTGTGTTTTATACTACTGGGGGATACTTGGCATCCACCATTCTAGTCATGGCTAGCTGAATATTGGAATCCCGAATATAAAGTTGAATAACGAATTACGAGGTATTATAGCTTGTACCTCGTTATTCGCCAAAAACGAGGCAAGTCACCTCGTTATTCGTTATCCACCGCTTGAATAACAATCTGGTTTATTTACCGACTATACGTCATTTAATACGTTTTCTACTGCTAGGGGATACTTTGCAATCTATTATTCTATTGTTGTCTTGTGATCGTTCAGAATTAAATCCTGAAATTTCCTCATTAAAGTTACATGAACACATTCATATGTGAATCCCGAATAACGAGGTGAACAACGAATAACAAACAGCTTGAATAAAAATGTGGACTGTTTTTCGTCTAGGGGTCGTTTTGCCGTGTTTTATACTACTGGGGGATACTTGGCATCCATCATTCTCGTCATGGCTAGTTGCATATTAGAATCCCGAATATAAAGTTGAATAACGAATAACGAGGTAGCTTGTACCTCGTTATTCGTTTTTCACCGCTTGAATAACAATCTGGTTTATTTACCGACTATACGTCATTTAATACGGTTTCTACTGCTAGGAGGCACTTCGCAATCAATTATTCTATTGTTGTCTTGTGATCGTTTAGAATTAAATCCTGCAATATCCTCATTAATGATACATATGTGAATCCTGAATAACGAGGTGAAAAACGAATAACAAACAGCTCGTTATTTGCTGCTTATTCGCTGTCGTTTTGCTGTGTTTTATACTACTGAGGGATACTTGGCATCCATCATTCTAGTCATGGCTAGCTGCATATTGGAATCCCGAATATAAAGTTGAATAACGAATAACGAATAACGAGGTAGCTTGTACCTCGTTATTCGCCAATAACGAGGTAAGTCACCTCGTTATTCGTTATTTGTTATTGGTGACTAACAAATAACGAGGTGTTCAAAACATAAATTTTAAAGGTCCAGAAACACAATTATGCCATCTGGAAAAGGATCAGAACCGTTCAAGTAAGTTGGGAAACATATCTGTTCATCTATGTTGGGAAACAAATCTATTCAAGTAAATTGAAAGAAAACACAAATCAGTAAGGTACTGTAGTCAATGAAAATATTGCATCAATATTGTAAGGTTACCGAGACCCTGTCCGTATAGGCGCCTACGATAAATTAAATGTGGGGATGGGAGGGGAAGATCGCCGAAAGCGGATCTGGTCAGGATCTCCGAGATGGTGCCTGATATTGTGGTTTCCTCCTTTTTCCGATTCCATTCATGCACTCCCATCCATCGTACATCGATTTCTATAACACCCAGCTCAAACTTTCAAGATACAGGATTCTTTGAAGCTAGTCCCAACGATTAAAGGGGGGTAAGTCTTTATTTCCCCTACCCCGTAAGTTACGACTAAGGCTAATAAGACGTTCAATATGCCTGGTCCTTTATTTCGTGGTAAAGATTTAAAAATAACAATGAAATACATTTAGCTAAATATTCTATAACATGTTAAAATATGGGTGTCCGGCGTGGTGGGAGATAATGTTCGCGATTCTCTATTACATATTGTTAACCCGGTGATAATGGCGGCATATTCATACTCTACATACTAATAAACGTAATACTATGGTATTCCCGTTCGAAACATTACATGTATATCTAAGTTCCCTCGCAGGCACGATTCTCACCTTTCTAATTAAGTAATTTAACACGAAGTTGTGTTTACAGGGTTCCGATTTAAGCTCTCGGTATTATGAAGAAAGATAGTTAGCCGTGGATACGACGAACCGTTATCTGCCCTTCCGACGTTCAAGCACCCTTTACGTTTAAACATATTTTATTACTTTAAAGTAAACGGATCGGACAAAAGTTACTAAAACTTACAAAAGAGTCCTCTCCAATACAATATAATTGTTTTAGGTGGTCAGTGAAACAAAGTCAATGAATGTACATATCGGATACTAATAAACAATACATTAACAAAACAAACATATTTACACAAGTTCAGTGTATTTAAAATATGGACCAGGGAGAATACCTCGGTAAAACATACCTTACAACAGCGAAATATACGAAAGCGTGTAAGGTTTATTTGGCGAGGTTCAAATATTAAATTAATTTCTATTTAAAGGAAAAACTGTTTGGCGGGCGGTAGCATGTTTATCCATTCTAGAACTACATCATGATTTGAAACGCTCTGTGTTTTCTATGTATTTCTGTACTTGCTTAACTAAATACATATTTTGATTTGTCGTTAATTCCGGGTCACCAGAAAGCAGTGTCGTCAGATTTAGGTTATAATAGTTTTTTAATTGATCAAATAATATACTCCTTTGCTCATCATACAAAGGACAATGTTGGAAGTAGTGTTGCGTATCTTCCGTTTCATGGCCACAGTGACATTTTTGATCATTTACAAGGTTAGATTTATAAAGATGTGATTTTAATGGGCTACAGCCGTGACGAAGTCTTGTATGCAATATATTAAGTTTCCTGTTACATGTTAATAGATAATTAGGTGGAGGTTTTGGTTGATCAAAGTTTGTTATTTTTGATCTGAATGCTGCTCTACTAGGGGCAGCTTTTGTTGACGAATCTAGCGAATTCCAGGCGCGAATTGTGCTTAGGAAAAACGATTTTTCAAAACGTGACGTTCGACAACGTGGCGTCAATAGATCGTTGGTATTTCGTAATGAATATGGTGTGTTATTGTTTCTATATTGTTGTAAGATATTTGTAAGAAACACAGGACAATTATTGTTGTATATATCGTAAAAAAGTATCAGTTTCTGTCTGAAACGTCTGGTTGACAGTTTGTCCCATCCCGTTTCTTGATAAAGGGCTTCTTTACTCGCAAACTTGGGTAAACCCGTAACTATACGAGCAGCTTCTAACTGAATTTTTTCTATACGAATACTATCATTTTTGGTACAGTTATCCCAGACCGGACTAGCACATTCCAAGATCGATCTGATGTATGCTTTATATATTTTTGTCTAACGTGTTCTGTTCCAGTTTGTACTTCAGTTTTCTTAAAATGTTCAATTGCTTTCCTGCAGTATTGCAAATTCTATCAATATGGTTGGCCCATTTTAAATCTTGCGACAAAGTAATGCCTAGGTGTTTGTGGTACGGGACAATATCGAGTTCAGTTCCCCCTAATTTGAGGGAGGGCAGTTTCCTTAGCTTCTTCGGTGAAAATAGCAAGACTTTTGTCTTATTCGGATTGAGATTTATCAGCCATTTTTGTGACCAAATGTGTAATCGGTAAAGATCATTATTGAGCGAATTTTCTAAGTCTTCGATACTAGATTTAGTACAACCAATGGCCGTATCATCAGCAAATAACCTGCCCTTCCGACGTTCAAGCACCCTTTATATAAGAAAATTAGAGTATCACGTGACGTCATTAACCAATCAATAATTGTCCTTTTCTCCGTGTCGGCACTTCTTTGAAAATTGAAGTGTTCGACGTTAAAATAATCTACTGAAATAATATATCGAACTTGTCCGGTTCTTGTCCGTTTTACTTAAATTTGATCAGGAATAATTTGAGATGTACAACGAAAAGATTGGTTATAAACAGACAAAACAGACAATAACTATGAACAGCGTAATTTTATCAAATGTGACCATACCACGCGTAATTATTCAAGACGTAATAGGTAACAATATAATCCAATTGAACTACGTCCCCTTTGGCCATAGAACATATTAAAACCCGTAATAATTATTATAGCAACCAAGATGAATTACTTGGCAATGATGTACAATAAGGATAATCATTAAGCAAATAGAAATATTATATAAAAATCTGACAAGTCAGTGCTAAGATTGAAGTGACACAAGATGGACGTCTACGTTGTGAACTATGAATGTGCTCGTAACTAAGGACTATTCTAATGCAAAATTGAACGTTTCGGAAAAGAACTATGCAATGATGTAATTAATAATAAGTGCACAAATACGGGGAAGATTATTCGAGAGGCTAACAAGTAAGTAAACCTTGTTAGTTTTATACAAAATATTAGTCGAAATGGTTTGTTTACACGAGGCCTTGATTTGACATCTTACAAATCGAATGGCGGTAATACCGCAATCCTCGCCCCCTACTTATAATTTAACAAACGATCTAAAACTTAGGTAACAATATAACAATCAAAGAATGCAAAAATATATAGTAATATGTACAGGACTGAATTCTATATATTACACTCCCCCCATCTTAATTTCTTAATTCTCCTGAATTATGTAAAAATACAAAAAACTAATGAATTGTTGAAACAATTAACAGCCGTTGTCGACAGCGACTCGTAGAGGTATCCCCATTTCCTCTACCTTTACATCGTCGATTGGTCTCCCACTCACCATCTCCTCCAGCATCTTGATTAAATCTTCATCCTCTGCTGATCGATCCTTTACCTCCGCAATTCTCCTCAGAGCTGTATACGTAAAATCTATACTGGCCTTTTACATATGTGGCGTTATCTGTCTTGATGGTATCGGCTGTTCCGGGAAGGACTAGATAGCTGTATCGTATCAGCAGATCAGCCTTAGGCTTCGGTGTGGTTATTCCAGCACAATATTCCAAAACAGTGGCAGCATGTTCGAAATGGTGGAGCTTTTCCTGGGCACTCATGCTTCTCCAGCCCTGTGGTGGCCACATATATTTTTTAGTGTTGTTACCAGTTCAACAATCTCTTCCCCGGTCCACTCTCTTCGCCCAGCTGGAAATAAGGGCACAACCCCTCGGCGCAGCAGATGTCGTGCCCTCTCACGAAGTGTTGGTGCCATACTTTCTTCCTTCGTTGTTTCCGCCACCGGTCCTTCCTCCTCCGATCTCTCCTTTTGCGACCCTTCCTTCTATAATCTCTCTTCGTCTTTCTGCCTCCTTTCCTCCTCTAATCTCCCCTTTACTATCTGCTCCACCCTCTCCTTCTCTAACTTCTCCTCAGCTTTCCGTTTCCTCTCCTTCTCCAATCTCTCCTTCTCCTTCCTACCCTTTTGTAACCTCTCCTCGACTCTCTGTTTCCTCTCCTCCTGTAACCTCTCCTCCCCTTTCTGTCTCCTCTCCTTCTCTAACCTCTCCTTCTCGACCCTCTCCTTTACTATCTTCTCCTCCCTCTCCTTCTGTAACTTCTCCCCCTCATTCCGTCTTCTCTCCTTCTATAACTTCTCCTCCTCATTCCGTCTCCTCTCCTTCTCTAACTTTTCCTTTACTATCTTCTCCTCCCTCTCCTTCTCTAACTTCTCCTTTACTATCTTCTTCTCCCTCTCCTTCTCTAACTTCTCCTTTACTATCTTCTCCTCCCTCTCCTGCTCTAACTTCTCCTTTACCATCTACTCCTCCCTCTCCTCCTCTAACCTTTCTCTCTCTATCCTCTCTTTCTCTAACCTTTCTCTCTCGGTCCTCTCTTTCTCTAACCTTTCTCTCTCGGTCCTCTCCTTTACTATCTTCTCCTCCCTCTCCTTCGCTAACCTCTCCTTTACCATCTTCGCCTTTACTATTTGCTTCTCCTTCTCCTGTACTATCTCTGACTTCTCCTTTACTATCTGCTTCTCCTTCTCTGATCTCTCCTCGTCCCTCCGTTTCTTGTCCTCCTCTAATCCCTCCTCCGCCTTACCATGCCCTGTTTTCACCCGTTTCTTCTGCTATTTCGGATTTTCGAATTTCAAAAATTCGTCGCTGTGATTTCGAACCGGAAGTTAAAATCAACTTTACAAAATTCTTTAATAGTTGCACGATTTTCATGAAATTCGGTATGTAAGTAGATCTTACCGTAACAACTTGAAAAATGTCATTAGAAATTTTCTGTATTATCTCCCCTTGATGAAATTAAGGATCAAAGTTTTAAAAAAAATCGACGAAATATAGGTCCGATTGCCTTGAAATTGTATTTCTTTACTAGTTATGACACTATTGATTGGTACACAAAAAATGGAGTTTGTAGCCCAAACCGGAAGTGCCACCATGTTGAAATGTGAAATATCGCTAAGGCTTTTTTAATATTTTACTTACAGACCAGGGGATTATATTTTCCAAATCCTTGAAGGAAAGCCCATAAAATGTAGGCAGTAGAATTTTGATTTAGGTCAACTGATGGACGCCATTTTGAATTGAAAATGAAAAATAGTGAAAAATCCACATTAATGGGCTTGAAAACATACACAATTGGTCGTGACTTAGAGAATGTGTCTCCTATTACCGAAATTATTACATTTCAGGATAGCCTGGATCATGGTCGAATGTTTGGTATTTGAATATTTCAAAAATTCGAATTTCTCCTTTGATGTTTTCCGTGCCGACAAGGTTGTTTTCGAGTTTAGCTGGTTTTGATTTCGCGCATGCGCTACACAGGAACCAACGGTACCTAGGTACCCTGAAAATTTCAAGGTGATATCTGCATTAGTTCAAGTCGTTTGTTCTTGTCACCTGCCTTTCGTCGGTTTTTTTCTAAGTCAATTTATGGCTTCCATGAGGGGAAAAAAGTGGAATTTCGCCGTGACACCGGCACCGATTGTCCGAAAACCATGAAATTTAGACACAATACGCCCATTACCACCCCAGACTCTGTGCTTTACCCCCATTTTGATCCCATTAAAAAAAAGAGTTTTAGCAAAAAAAAGATTTTCAGAATTTAATATTGGTTTTAACCCTGTAATACCCAGACATGATATACATATTATTATAATCCCTATGAAATATTTTAATTATTTACTGCTATAATATGAATTATCACTTATTCCCCGTTAAATAAATATCGGTCACCGGGTGCAGCTGTACAACTTCAAGGACACTGGCCTCAAGTCAATTTACGACTTCCATGAGGGGGAAAAAAGTGGAATTTCGCCGTGACACCGGCACCGATTGTCCGAAAACCATGAAATTTGGACACAATACGCCCATTACCACCCCGGACTCTGTGCTTTACCCCCATTTTGATCACATTAAAAAAAAGAGTTTTAGCAAAAAAACGATTTTCAGAATTTAATATTGGTTTTAATTAATTTTGAAATTGCAAATGCAAAGAGATGTTATCGCCTCTTCCGTATGTTATAGGCATTAGTACTAAACACATTATCCTTAAAAGACAATTTTTTAAAATGACCGCAACGATGTTTCGACACTAGAAACCGAAATCGCCTATTTGACCTATTTTGACTGCTGGGGCATCTTTCCGTACGTGACAAGGAGTAGGTCGCCCGTCCAACCTGTGTGTTTTTTCAGGATCACCCGGTTTCCTCCCACTGCTAACCCCTACGCGCAAGCGAATTATTGAAATAAAATTGAACCATACGTTAGTCCCGAAATGACCTAGTTTGTGTCGATTGGTCGATCAACTCCATTTCGCTCTCTCAATTTTAGCACTCCTAACTCTAAAGCTAAATGCAAGGAACGTGTCTATTTACAGAGGTCACAATTTTAACCCTGTAATACCCAGCATATCAGATATGCACACCTACATGATATACATATTATTATAATCCCTATGGGATATTTTAATTATTTACTCTTATAATATGAATTATCACTTATTCCCCGTTAAATAAATATCGGTCACCGGGTGCAGCTGTACAACTTCAAGGACCCTGGCCTCAAGTGCATGGGACCAACTCTACATTTTCTGAAATGTCAATAAAAGCCCTGGAATGATTTCATTTAAAAAAAATAATCAGAAAGTAAATCTATTTTTATTTATATGCTATTTGTTGCCAGAAAATATATTTTGTTACTAGTCTAATTCAAATTTAAAAATAAACAATATTTTTTCTGAAAATCAATGTCGAAATTTAGTGTATCATAGATGATACAATGGGTCTGAGGCATATTTTATTGATATATAGAAATTAGTGCAGTGTTCTCATTATGTGTTAAAAGAGTGCCAGAAATGTCTCGAAATTCAGCCATTTGTGTATTTAGTATATCAAGTATATGCGTGTATTACAAAGCTCTGATTTGTGTGAATTGTGTACACCCCGCTTCCCCCCCCCCCTCGTGTCACTATCATGTACATATCAAATCTGCTGCCAACCCACCCACGCGAACATGACTAAATTATGAAACATTGTCTAGTCGTTTGTATGTTACGACAAAACGAGGCCAGCGTGGCTCATTTGTGCAGAACGGAAGGCCCCGGTTTTTCACAGTGAAACATTTTGATGAAACTTGACATGTATGTTTATAACCCAAAGATATGTTTCCTTTCGATATTTGCGCATATCGAATCGTAACTTCATGAATTATGGTCCCTGATTGTAAGAAAATCACTTTATATTTCGCGTGTTTTCTATCTATCTCTCGGAAATGGAATATGGAAATACACAAGCTAGCTAGTGTATTACAGGGTGGTGGTGGTGGGGATGAGGTCTTCTATTTGCAATGATTTTTTGACTACAAAATATACGCTCTAACTCATTAATCAAACTACAGCAAAAAAGCGGGACCGTAAACCCCATTTTATATATTCTTACAATAGCAACGCACTTCGGGATTAATCTAGAAATGGTTCCACTACTGATGTCTTCCGCCTTACTCCTGCCACAGTAGTGGCTTGTCCTACGGAGTTCCTTTCCGCAAGTTTTTTTTAGTCAAATGACTACAAAAAAGTTACTGGCCTATGTATAGCTCCCTTAATTTACACATAAACTGACCTAAAACTGCACTGCACATATAATAAACCAATTCCCATCGAAATAAAGGTGAAGCCGTACCGCATAATTATAAGATTTGATGAAACCCAACTGCTACCTGAAGTTTCTCGCCTATCGAAGTTATAATATCCGCCAGTGTCATGGCGGCTCGCACATTATAAGAATCATTGCTTTGAAAATGTAGAACGCATTAACACAAAGAAAAACTGATCGGTAACTAGTTTAGTGGTCCAGTCTTCACTATAATTTGTGATAGAATTACTTATTTAAAAAAAACTGAATGATGTAAAAATAAAAATGGTTGGAGTGCCCAAGTTTAGATTTGTCGTTGATTTCATAAAGTTGTTAGGATATAGAACGTTAAATACTATGTGATTCAACATGGCGGCCGAGGGGTTTAATATGATATAAGTACGAAATACATGTATATGTAGTACCAGATGGTTTATATGTATGAGAGTCAAGGTTTGGACTAAATGTCTTGGGGAAGTAGGAGGCGACTAGTATGTGCCTCTCTTTAGTGGACCGATGTGAGATTGCCCATTGTATTAACTGGACGGGTAGGCCTATTCACCTTCAGTTATGTGGCAATGTCAAATAAGCGGATTCTTATCAACACGGTCGGCCCTGGGCCGGTGTAATTCTACGTATCTCTCGTAGCTGAGAGAAAAAAGATTTTTTGGCCGAGAGAATATCTTCCGTCAAAGTGGTTGTTGATTCATAGATTCTAATAACCCCTTTTGCAGTTTATATGAAAGCTTTGATATCTGCTATGCAGATCTAGTTATTATTATTTTTTTTTCGCCGGGGCCTATTTCTCAGTGCCTGTAACAGATACCGATATGGGACCTAATTTTCTATTTGGAAACCATGTGGTGGCTACTTGATAAACTATTTTTGAAACGTATGTGCAGACCGGAAGGGGCCGAATTTCGTGCGGTGCATAAAAATTAAAAAACGGCCGTAGCTTCGTCAGTTCTGTACCTATTTTCATACAAATGACATTTTCAGAAACCCTGAGTCTTTCCTCGGACGATAGCAGTTGAAAATTTCGAAACTTCGTCGCTGTCTTCTAGCGTTCGAAAAATTAACCTACATTTTTGGATATCAGGGGGCAGTTTCACAAAGCAACTTACGATGAAAAATTTGCGTAAGTTTATCGTAACGTAAACTTACGTAAAAATCGCGTTTCACTAAAATTCTTAACTTACGAAATTCGTAACTTTTATCGTAAAGTCTACGGCAACTCTTACCTTGTCGTAAGTTGGAAATTTTTTCGTATCTTTGACAAAATGGCCGCCTTGTTACTTTATGCGGATCGGCAACTTCGGCGAGAGAGAATATTCAAGGATAGATATTAAACCCTCTCGACACTCATACAGATGAGGAGTTAGTTTCGCGGTACACTATATTACATGTTATTTACTGTATTAATGATGATATCGAAACCGCAACTTACCGATCGAAATCCCTGTCATCACCTGTACAAGACCTGATTGCATTACGATACTATGCCACAGGTAGCTTCCAAAAACTCATTGCTGATGCACATGGGGTGAGTGTACCATCAGTGTCTAGAGTAATTTATCGTGTTTCACGAGCAATAACAACCTGTGTTGACGATAAATTATCAATAAATTTCCCCTATTCCATGGAAGATATCAATTCTACAAAGGAAGGTTTTCACCAAATAGCAGGCTTCCCAAATGTAGTGGGAACGATTGATGGTACACAAGTTGCCATCATAGCACCATCGGGAGAAAATGAGCCGCTGTTCGTCTGCAGGAAAGGGTTTCATTCCATTAATGTTCAAGCAACAGCTGATTCTAAACTCAGGTAAACGTACGAATTAGCGTCTTGTTTTAACGCTGTTCACTCTGCAAGTAAAATTTACACAATTTGAGACTAGTGTTCAGACTTCACGATTGATA